GTGAGTTCTTTATAGTTTAGGCCTAAATGATGACCGTAAAAAATGAAAGGAACGAGAAGAATACCACATTCTTATTCATTCATAATCTTTTTTAGTTCTTTTACCATTTATATGTAATAAAAATTTCATATAGTTCTTCTTCATTTCCTGCAGTAAAAAGGAACATAGAACAAAATTGTTCCCATCTATTTTGACAAAGAATAAAAAAGAATGCATTTTTAAGTGGAAAATTTTCTTTTCTTACTTGAAATTCTTATTCATTTTTTGTTACCATTTATTAGGACAATTTGTTCCATTCTCTCTCTACGTTAATTTTTTTTAATTTGTTCCATATATACAACTTATTTCATTTATTTTCCTCTTCATTTTTATTATTTTTTGGGGTCAAAATTAAGGAATTACCAAAATATTCGTGTATTTCAGTTTGCATATAAGATTAAGGGATTACCAAAATATGCAAGGAATCCTCGGCTAAAACACGGAGTTCATGATCACGATTTTTTTTATTTGTATTATTTCCAAAATAATGTTAGAAGTTAGACCGAATATAATAAGATAATAACGCATCACATTAAAGAAAACGGATTAATTGGTAACAATGTATGAATAAAATATTGAATAGCATAAAACCATACTCTTTCTGTTTCAACATAAATATCGTTTTCACATTTTTCACACGAATTTTATAGACGACTTAAACATACTATTAGGTTGATCTTTGTTTTTCATTCGTTGCAAGGTTGGAGATGGCAGAACAGCAAGCTATTGGTTTGACCATTGGAGCAGGCTCGGCCCTCTTCTAGATTATATTGGTAGTTCTGGACCCCAACTCACAGGCATCCCTGAAAATGCTTGTGTAATTGATGGTTCTGAATCTACTAGATGGATTCTCTCTTCTCCTTGTACGAGAAACACACAGCTTGCCGACCTCCGCAATGCCCTGTTAGAGACTCCTCACCCAAGCCCTGCTTCCGGTCATGACACATTCTACTGGCATATTGAAGGTTCTACCTCCACGCACTTCTCAACCAAAACAACTTGGGAGCAAA